TATTAAATGTTTCAGGTTAGTATGTAATACCAAAATATAAGCATATATACCCCCAATTTGAACATTATTTGTGCTTATTTCAACACAAGTGGTTTTTACCAATGAGCCATTATAACAAACACTAGTAAAATTATCCGCGCTTCGTGCAGGAATTTAATATCGCGAAATTTATAAAATAATACTTAAAGCCTATCAATCATTAAAACTAAAACACTATATTATCTTACATACAAGATTATGTAGTAAGAAACATTAATAATGTAAAGGAAAATGAAAATTATTACATCTTATCATTTATCCTTAATAACATAAGCATAAATTAATGACTATAAATATACATACCAAGATCTGAAACATAAGCAATGGTGTCAGTGACCCACTCAACCAGGAGCAAAGTACACAAATATTTAATTGTGAAGAAGAAGAGGTTCAGAATTTTCGTTGTATTAAAATGAGAGGAAATTCCTCTATTTATAGACATCGGAAAGGTTACAACTATTTGGAAAAGTTGAAGAAGAAGAGGTTCAAAATTTTCGTTGTTTTAAAATGAGAGGAAATCCCTCAATTTATAGACAACAAAGAGTAGTGTGAACAAATATTTATTGTGCCTTATCTGAAAGGTTACAACTATTTGAAAAAGTTGCAACCCTTCGGAAAGGTCACAATCTTTCATAAAAGTCGCAATTTTTCATAAAAGTTGCAACTCTTCATTAATGTCACAACTTTTCATAAAAGTCACAACTTTTCATAAAAGTCGCAACTCTTCATAAGTCGCAACTTTTCATAAAAGTCACAACTTTTCATGAAAGAGGAAGGCTAGTTTTCGAAATAAATAAATTAAAAGGGAATTCTAGTTTGTGGTTGCGCCATGTAGGCGGGCCTAAGGTTCTCTTTTATATATATACTAGTAAAATTACCCGCGCTTTGCGCAGAAATTTAATATCACGGAATTTATAAAATAATACTTAAAACCTATATGTCATTAAAACTAAAACACTATATGATATATCACAGAATTTATAAAATAATACTTAAAACATATCAATCATTAAAACTAAAACACTATATTATCTTACATACAAAACTATGAAGTAACAAACATTAATAATGTAAAGAAAAATAAAAATTATAACATCTTTTCATTTATCGTTAATAACATAAGCATAAATTAATGACTGTAAAAATACATACCAGGATCTGTAACATAAGCAATGGTGTTAGTGAGCTACTCAACATGAGCAAAGTACACACATATTTAATTGAGGAGGAGGAGGAAGAAGAAGAGGAAGAAGATGAGGAGGAAGAAGAAGAAGTAGTAGTTCAGAATTTTCGTTATTTTAAAATGAGAAGAAATCCCTCTATTTATAGACAACAAAGGCTAGTGTGAACAAATGTTTATTGTGCCTTATCGGAAAGGTTACAACTATTTGAAAAAGTTGCAACCCTTCGGAAAGGTCACAACCTTTCATAAAAGTCACAACTTTTCATAAAATGCGCAACTCTTCATTAAATTCGCAACTTTTCATAAAAGTCACAACTTTTCATAAAAATCGCAATCTTCATTAAAGTCGAAACTTTTCATGAAAAGAGAAGGCTAGTTTTGAAAATAAATAAATTAAAAGCAAATTTTGGTTTGCGGTGGTGCCACGTAGGTGGGCCTAAGGTTCTGTTTTATTTATATACTAGTAAAATTACCCACGCTTTGCGCGAGAATTTAATATCACGGAATTTATAAAATAATACTTAAAATCTATCGGTCATTAAAACTAAAACACTATATTATTTTACATACAAGATTACGTAGTAACAAACATCAACAATGTAAAGGAAAAAAAGAAAATTATAACATCTTATCATTTATCCTTAATAACACGAGCATAATTTTATGACTATTAAAAATAATATCAGGATCTGTAACATAAGCAATGGTGTCCGTGAGCAACTAAACTGGAGCAAAGTATACAAATATTTAATTGTGCAGAAGAAAAAGAATAAGAAGTTCAGAATTTTCGTTGTTTTAAAATGAGAGGAAATCCCTCTATTTATAAAAAATAAAGGATAGTGTGAACAAATGTTTGTTGTACCTTATCGGAAATGTCACAACTATTTGGAAAAGTTGCAACCCTTCGGAAAGGTCACAACCTTTCATAAAAGTCACAACTTTTTCATAAAAGTTGCAACTTTTCATAAAAGTCGCAACTTTTCATAAAATTCACAACATTTCATAAAACTGACAACTTTTCATAAAAGTCACAACTTTTCATGAAAGAGAAGGCTAGTTTTGGATATAAATAAATTAAAAAAGAATCCTGATTTGTGGTGGTGCCACGTAGGCGGGCCTAGGGTTCTTTTATATATATATATATGTATATGATTATTGTTGGGTAACATTTTTTTTGGTATTGTCCAAACAATATACCAAAAACTTTTAAGTTGGTATTTAATACTCCCTCCGTTTCAAAAAGATTGATCTGGTTTAACTTGGCACAAAGTTTAAGAAATTAAAGAAGACTTTTGAATCTTGTGGTCCTAAATTAAAGTTAGGTCAAATGTACAAAATTGCCCTTAATCTTGTGGTCTTAAACATGTCACGTGGAAAGCAAAAAGTAAAATGTTACCAAAAAAGGAAAGAGGTCATTTTTTTGAAACTGACTAAAAAGGAAAGGAAGTCATTCTTTGTGAAACGAAGGGAGTAACAACATTTCAACCAAACACGACAATAAATTTTTAACTGATATTTTTGTATTATTTTTGGTTTCAACTACTCTAAGTAGTTGTTGTTTATTTTTAAGTTTTAAGTTGATATTTAATAAATGCATTTCAACCAAACACGACAATACCAACTACATATAACTTAAATCACCATTAATGCGAATAAACTATTGAAGAATAACCAAAGTTGTAATAAACTGCATTTATCATTCTTAAAAAATTCCAGAAGTTTTGGAAGAAAGAATAAAGAAAAACCAACCAAGAAAATTGCAAAATAATACATCATTGTTAAGTTTGATAAGCAAACTTAGGGCACGTTTTTTTGTTATGTCATGATGTACCACATTTACTACAAGTTACTTTACTCCTCTTGTATTTTTCTTTCGTTGAATCCCTTCTTATGGTCGTTACTTGATGGTCTGCCGGGTTGTTTTCTTGTAATTGGTGGCAGCAGTTCCTCTTCCAAAATATGTGATGGAATATTCCAAGTGCTTTCGCAAGGCAATGGTTCTATTGAAATTGCATAAGTATCTTGAAAATTCTTATTACTATAATATGCTGAACAATAATCTTCGCGATGTTTGTTTTTGTATCTGATAGATGCAACTGCATGACTGCAAGCAATCTCATCATGTTGAAATCGTTCGCAACTACACATCATATATCACACCTTTAATATCGTAATCAACGTATCTACTTGTTTCACACCAAAACATTAGGGATTATTTGTTGTGAATCTCGTCAAACAGAATGGTCAGTTCAACGTTTTCAAATTTTATATTATGTTTTAAAGCATGTTTTTGCTGACAAGATAATTTTTAACTTAAATATGGTGTTTACAGCATCATCATGTACCAACGATCACTCTGTTCACCATTATCATGTACAACAATAAAACCAACGCTGAATGAGACAAAAAAAAATTAGCAGTTCACCAAATAAATTAAAATGATTAATTTCACCAAATAAAACCAACTCTGAATGTAGTCCAACATTTTGATAATTAAAAATGATTAAATTCACCTAATAAATTACCAAACCAGATAATCACTAAATATTCACCAAAACTAAAGAATTAATTAAAAAAAAAAATCAAAAAATTGAAATGGGTGAATATCAACAACATATATTACACCATTAATTAAACAACTCATGATACACAAAAATTATTTTTTTTAAAAGTGATTTTTAACGTAAATACAATGTTTAAACCATTATTATGTACCAAAATTTAATCTATACGTTCACCATAATCATGAACAATAAAACCTATACCGAATGACACCAAAAAAAACCAGTAGTATACTGAACATGCAGTCCATAATTTTTATTATTAAAAAAGATTACTTTCACCAAATCAATTATCAAAAGACAATCACTAAATATTATTTATGTTCCGAATCTCAAAACCATAGAAAAAACCAGAAAAATTAATAAAAAAAATAAAATCCAAATAACGGAATTGGTGAGTTACAACAATGATCATGTTTTTCAATTACACAATTAAAAAAACACCAATTATATATTATAAGTATAATTAACACCTGATGTGTCCCAACATCCTCTATGTTGAATTAGGATTGAATAATTGTTGGTATCCATGATTGAACAGTCGATCAGAATAAATGGAAAGAAAGTTTTATATTTATTAAGAAACTTTTTATTGGTAGGAGAGAATATTTATAACCACTTTGAGTAATCATGGGATTTGAGAAAAATGGGGAATACCATAAATCGTGGAGCACAAATTCACCTTTTTTAAAAAAAAATATAAAAATAACTTTGAAAAAAAACTATTGTTATATAGGTGAAACAAAAAACTATTACCCTATAGTGGTAATTAATATACTTTATTTGTATACTTAAGTTTTTTTTTCCCTATATCACTTGTTGAACAAAGTATTCGTCCTTGCTGCTAAAGGTAACAATATCAACTCATTGAAACACATTTATTTATTCTCAGTCAAAAGGTGACAATATCAGATAGCACATGAAAACGTACCGCCCACAACATTCTTGGACCCCATGCATGGGCAGTTCTTCTCATAACTGCAGAATTTCCTTAATTCTATCAACTGAATCTGATGTTGTTTCAACTGCATTGAACTGAACTATATATGCTAGAGTTATCAACTATCACAGTAACAGGGTTACAATGCCACCCCTGTATTATTCATAATACTCACACTTCTGCGCTGAAAAGACCTTGCATTACCAAATCAATTTCCAATGTTGATGATGAGAAGAACACTTCATAAAAGAGGAAATCAAATTTCATAAGCCTTCAGCCCGTATTCTAGAGAAAAGATTGAAATGTCCCATCGCCCATCTCTTTCATTATTTCTTAAACATCGTTGAGAGCCAATTGCTTTTTAAAATACAAATATTACAAAGCAACCCATGTTCAACAAATTAAATGATTTTTTTTAAGAATAAAAATGCTAAACAAGGAAAACCAAAACTCAGCCATACTATTCTACAAAAAGAGTCACTCTACAACAATCTTTGCCTACCCAGGCAAACACTGCCATGCAGCAAGAGTATGAACAGGTTTCTCCATGGCATTGCTAGCAAAAATCTTTAATCACGAGGTATCAACAGCTCTCCAGATTGATCTTTAATCAGATCACCGGACTTGCATCACAAGGGATCTGCATATTGGCAATTAGAGCAAATCAAGTAGAGGGGGCTGCTCTGGATTAGACTTTGCATTACCAGACCCTAATGTTGAGGACCTGAGTTGCCCTTGATTTCCCCTACCTCTTCCCCTTCCTCTACCGACAGCAGTTGATGGAGGAGGAGCCAACCTTGGAGCAGTCGGCTCACCCTTGTTCGAAGAAAAAATTGATCCAATATCGGTTGCTCGACCACTAGAAGCACCCAAAGCTGATGATGACCCTTGATTATGTTTCATAAATCCAAGTGAACTCTGCGAGTCAAGACCCCCACCACTACTGATACTATCAGTGCGTGATGTAATCCCTTGATTCTGTTTCAAGGGCTGAGAAGAAATTGGGGTGCTGAAAGCCCAAGAATCAAGGCCATTTGTTTGAGAGTTCAAGCCATTAAGAAGAGTTGCACTATTGTTAGACACGGGTCTGTTTGCGAACGGGGCCATTGTTCCATTGTTCAAAGAGTGAGAAGCAGCTGAGGAGCCACTAGGTCGGGGAGGCCAGTTAGCAAAAGGATCAATATCATCGAGACTTGAACCCAATGCCCCCTTGTTTTCTAATTGTTTCTCAGAATCACTTAGAATGGTAGTACCAAATGACAAAGGTTTAGGAGGCCACTCCACATCAACTGCAGGACATGAAGATGATAGTTGCTGACTAGATACACCAGATGTCATGTATGACTGTGAAGGTCCAGAAGTAACTTGGATCGACTGTCCTGCAGTAGTAGACTGGGCAGGCAATGTCGTAGAAGACTGCACGGTGGTTGAAGATCCCCTTGGTGGAATCCAGTCTTCATCCCATGACGGGCTGCGTTTTGTGGTAGACTGAGAACTCGCACTTGTTTTGTTCACATGTCCAGGCATCTGAGCATCAACTGTAAGAGATGATTTTATGTTTACTGCTGGATTTCCTGAGTCACTCAGTGTCACTCCTCGCTTCTCTTCAATCTTCCTGTAAAATGTGCATGACAAAGAAAATGAAAAAGAAGAAATAAATGGAAATGATATAAATTAAGAACCCAATAAATCTAGCAAGTTCTCTCTAATGGAAGTCCTTAGGCATACAGAAGGGCAGAATCTTGTAATCTAAGAAAATACATTACAACATACCATTTCATACACTTTTTTTTTGTTTTTTGAGAAGGTAACATTTGTGTATATTGATAAGGACAGTACGTGGGTTGTACTGAAAACCATGTTTACAACAAGTCAAAAATAAAGAACTAAATCCTAACAAGAGCCTAAGATGTCAAAGATTGACTCAGTATCTTCAAAGTATATCTGTTTACACCAAAAACAAAAAAGCTTAATACAGTTTAACTTGATCTTCTATGGATCACAATTTTTTTCCTCAAAACATCTAGAATTCCTCTCTTTCCAGATTATCCACCAGATACAGGCTGGGACAAACCTCCATCTATCTGTCTGCAGCTCCCTCCTCCCAACTATATAATAGTTATGTGATTTCGTTGAGCATAACCCAAACAAATAGCTGAGAAAGATCTGGAAAAGATCCTCCATAGCTGAGATATAGTCCTTCTCTATACAAATAGAAGACTGACTGACTGTCTCACCCTCTTCATCAACAGAGGTAACATCTGGAAAAGAGGGATATTTACTTTTCTTAAGGTTTTCTTGAGTTAAAACAGCTTCCCTTGCCAATAACCAAGTGAAACAAGCAACTTTGAAAGGTATCTATACCTTCCAAATATGCTTCCATCGCCACTGTTGTGGCTGTTGATTTTCTTGGTTCAAAAATTTATAGGCAGAGCTAACCTTAAAGATACCTTTGCAGTCCACATTCCACCATAATCTATCTGCTTCGTCATTTATGCCTTTAAACTCCTCTAGCACTCTGAAGAAGTCATTCACTTTATCTATTTCCCAGTCATTGAAATTCCTTCTAAATTGGATGTTCCACCCTCGTTGTATCCATAAATCTGCAACATGCACTTGTTGTTCAAACCCTCCATAGCAATAATGAAAAGCAAAGGAGCCAGAGGATCACCTTGTCTCAGACCTCTCTGGGGAGGGAAGAATCCTTCAGGTGACCCACTGATCAGAACTGAAAATCTGACGGTGGAGATGAAAAATCTCATCCATTTGATCCATTTCCTCCCAAATCCCATACATGAAAGAACTTCCAATAAATATTCCCAATTAAAATGGTCATATGCCTATTCAATGTCCAATTTACATAGTATTCCTTCCTTTCCTTGATTAATTCTGGAGTCCAACACTTCATTAGCAATCAAGTTGGCATCCATTATTTGTCTGTTTTTAATGAATGAAAGCTGAACCAGGTGCTTTATCCATGGCAGACAACTTCAAACATGAGAAAACTTCTTGTTCCATTTATTCCCCTTGAAGAGATTTTCTCTCAGCTTCAGTAATCACTAGACAGTTAATCAGGCTGCTTGCATGTCTGTTGTCAAGAGTCTCAGAATATAACTTTTGATAGAAATTAGTGATCTACCCCTTAATTCTCTCTGGTTCAACTATAGTGGTATACTAAATCACTAACTGGTCAATATTATTGCTTCTCTTATGTGCATTGGCCATTTTGTGGAAGAAGCTGCTATTCCTATCTCCCTCTTTAAGCCAAAGAGCCCTAGATCTTTGTCTCCAAGATGTTTTCTTCATTTTTAAGGTGTTCCTCATAATCCATCAGCAGAGTTGCCTTCAACATAGGCTCCTCTCTTCAGTTAACTGTCTAGTCTCCAGAACTGCATCTAGGTTAGCCATTTGTCCCAAAATCTGAGTATTTTGAATTCCCAGATTGCACCTAGGGTGGACCTGCTCCATTATTTTAGCTTGTCTATTAAAGCTTTCAGTTTGCATGCTAGGATATGATCAGGCATTCCAGTAAAATCAAAAGATTCCTACCAACCTCTAACTCTATCCACAAAACCATTTGTGTTTAGCCACCAGTTGTCAAATTTGAAATATGATTTGGTTTGTTCCCATTCACCACATTGTAATGCCACTGGATGGTGATAAGAAACAAATCTCTGCCGCCTAACCTATTTGATTTTCCTGAAGCTGTCATCCCACTCTTTGGATACAAGAATTCTGTCAATTCTGGAAGCAGCATTAGTCCTATCTCCTTTAATCCAAGTATAATCACACACCACCACCACCAGCTGAAAGTCCACCATCAGCTCCATATCTTCAATGAAATCAGAGAAATCCTCCATTGTTGGGGTTCTTCTGCAATTTATTTTTTCAGATAGGAACCTTGAGACATTGAAATCTCCACAAATGGCCCAAGGCCATTCAAATAGACTTCTGAGTTCTGACATAACCCAATTCCACCCATTCATATTCTCTTTCTGATCTGCAATTTGGGGCATACACTCCTGTACATGTAAAACCGGTTTTCTTTGGTTTCCTCTTCAACCTTCTTTTTCGAGTGTGTGGGGGGGGTGATGGCAGTGGGGTGGCGGTTGTCTCCATTAAGCAAAAGCAGTGTTATCCAAAGCAAAAATGCTCTTAGGTCCGTTAGGGCTTTAAGCGCAAATAAAACCCAATAAAGCCTGGGCTTTAATGAAAAATGGTGCAAAGATAGATTTTTTTTTATATATGTTTAGTTCAAAGCTAATGATTATAAGCATGAATGACAAAATATATGACAAAGAAATTGAAAGAAGTTAAAATAAAGAAAATATCAATTGTTTAGTGTCGCCTCTTCAGAAGAGGATCACTAGCAAGGAAAAGTATGCCTTAGAACCTTGATGACAATATTGAAGCGCACTTTAAGCGAACTGAAGCGCTCAACATGCTTTGAGCCTCATTTCAGGGCTTAAGCGTGCATTTAACAACAGTAAGCAAAAGCAAAGACTGAAGCGAACAAGTTTTACAGTTGGTATCCAATCCAATTATTCATGATGGAAATAATCACAGAACAAGAAAATACCAGTTACCAGTCAGCTCACCAATGTTCTTTTAGCATCTGAATTCCTAGCACCCCTCTCAAAGGTGTACATGCACATATGACATATGGCGAGAGAAAATGAGTATTGGCGGATGGATGTAAATGGTAATATACCTGAGAATCTCCTTCACAAAAGCCATGTATTTTGCAAATTGCTGAACATTTAATTGTTGAGCAATGAGAAGAGGCATGAGAAGTGGAAGGACATGTTCTGCCACAAATTCTATCCCATTCTGAGGAAAAGTAAATTTAAGTAAAAGTTAGGCAAGCGATTAGATACTATTGTTTCGAACACGAGCAATAAGGTTGACCAAGATAAAATATACCTTCTTCAAGATGGAGTTGGCTACCCCAAGGGTACACATGAGAGTTGGTGCAGATCGATCAACCGCAGTACAACATTGGATTGTCTGTAAGATCTCCAGAACCGCAGGCTTGTCCAGCGTGTGGACCATATCTCCCAAACATAATAGTGCATTGACCCTCACCTGACGAGAAAAAAATTGTTCCTCTATCAATCTTCAACTTGGTCAACAAACCCAAAGAAGGGCCTGGCTTATCAACAACCAGTGACTTCAACTTGGTCACCAACCAAAAGAACTGCCTAGCTTAACAATCAGTGACACTAGAAAAGGAACTCATGGATCAGGAAAGAAAGATTTATGTATATTCACAAGGTAAAAAGCTAATGTGACCCACAAAATATATGTATGTATGTTCACATGGTAAAAAAACTAATGTGACCCAAAAAGTTTAGGAAATTGATATGCCAAAGCACTCATCCTATCAACGCAAGCAGTATTTTTCCCTGGAAGATGACAATTGCTAAGAATATCAATTCCCAACATTCAGGATTTTCTGGTGTTTTCATTTTCAGTCATAAGGCTCTAGAGTAACTCATGCAATAACATTCCTGCACAAAATATTAGACTACGTACCGCAGCAACAGTCGTTTTCAATGCCAACCCATGAACGCGAGGCATGATTGCCTGTTTTACTAACTGCAAACAGATAAATACATAAACAAATAAGCATTTACAAACATAAATATGAAACTAATTCCAAGTTAATAGCAGTGATACTAGTTCTCCAGAACTTGAGATTCATATTCACTTGCATCCGCATTAATCTATCCCCTACGACATATGTAGTAACACATCAAGGTTTTACATTTACATCCAAACATTAATATCTCCCCTACCACATATGCAGGTTACATCAATGTTTAACGAAAGAGAAATAAACCTCATTGTGTAATCCTGTAGCAAAAAACTAGTGTCAAGTGGTCAATCAATAGCTTACCACATGCATAAAAACCAACTGTAAACAAACTTCAAAATTCAAAGTAAAGTTCAGTAACTCCACATGAAATATCTAATAAAAGGCTAAGACTTATCAAATGATGTGTCAATGTTTGTCTTAAATCTTGAATACTCAGATAAAACCATTTTTATGAACCTTTTATGGAGTAAATTTCCCAAATGGTCACTTAACTAGTGAAATTAACTAGTAAAGTCATTTATCTTATATTTATATCAATAAAGTCACTCAACTTATAAGTCGTATTCTGAGAAATAACTCTAACCGGAAAGATGATTTGGACTCCCCACAAACTTAAAAATTTTGAGAATTTTCGTAAGATAATATTTTTCAATTCTCCTCAGTAACCATTCCCTAAATATCTTCAATTCTATTCATTTATTTGGTAATGATAACTTTTTTTCCTCTTAATTGTCTTCAAACTCATTAAGACATTTTGAACTTTTCTGTTAAAATAATAATTTACTGCTAATCCAGCACTTGCGAGTTAAATTATTTTGAATTCAGGTTTAGCAAAATCTACATATTTAATAAAGTTAAATATAGACAAGGTAATGTATCTCCTCTCTATGACCTAGAAAATTATTTATCTTTTATCTCCTTTTTTGAATTTTTTTTTCTTTCATACTTTTCATTAATCGATTTGTTTGATGTAATTCAAAGAAAGTCTACCATATTTACTACATCTAATTATATGTTATGAGTTACAAAAATACCTCCATCTATTACATTCTCTACTTAAATAGCAAGTTTCCTCAACTCCCTTCTAACTTATTTTTATAGCTTAATCAATCTATAAATAACAATCATATATGGAGTTGTTGAATGTTTATTTCCGTTTTCTCATTTTTTTTATTAGTATATCTTTTTCTCCTTTTTGGGTTTTTTTCCTTCAGTTTTTTCATAGATCATGTGTTTAATCATCAAAAGAGAGGACATAAAAAAGACGATGTGATAATATGGTCATCACTTTGATGAAGATCATAGATATATTCTTCATAATTTCTTCTTGTGACATACCAAACATAAGTAAATTAAAATTAAGAACGAATTTTGAAGGCGGTGTAAAATTCATCAAAGAGCGATGGTCATATTAGTTTGGTACAAGTTCATCAAGATGAAAAAGAAGATTTGATGGTCTTGAAAGATTCATGAAGAGACATTGTCATATTAGTCTGGTGAAGTAGAAATTGGAATGACTTACAAATATAAATAGATACACTTTTTTTGAGAAAGATAAATAGATACACTTTTGTTGCTTATTTTAGTATTTTTCAATTAGTCACTCCAAATACAAGATATGTGTAATGACCCTCCAGGTCATTTTCTTCGTTTTCCGATCCTTTTAGCATTTAGAGCTTTCCTGTAGTGACCCCAAGTCATTTATGACTTGCTGGGACTAACAGTTCGGTCGCCAAGTCATTCGTTTGAGTTTTGTGCAGGTTCCCATGTTTTGGAGCCTTTGAAACTTGGACGGTTCCATCAGCTCTGAAAGGGCCATTTTAGGTTAGGGGCATGGTTGATTAAGGTCCCGAGGCTCACGGCGTGAGTTTGTGCTGTTAGGCGTTTTAACTTTGAAGCTTAAGCCAAGATTTGACTTCGGTCAACATTCTTGGTAAACATGCTCGGATAGACATTTCATCAGCGCGATTAGCTTCGGAATGTTGAGTTTGGTCTAAGACGACCTTTCATGCGGTTCCCGAGGTTTCCGGTCTCATTTTGAGCCTTGTGGAATTTGACTAAAACAGGAACTTGGGTGTGGGTCCCACTTTTCATCGAGATGACCTTGGATGGAAGTTTCGACAGGATTGTTGAGTCAGAAATATCGATATTTAGTGGGGTTTCTGGTTTATTTTTATTAGGCCCCGAACAAATTCTGAGGGTCCGTTTGAAGACCTTGAAAAATAGCAAAATCTGATGTTGCTGGTGCAAACCTTTAGAGACCAAAATTTAGGCTTTTAACAACCAGAAATGGATTTTAGCGACCAGATTTCTAGTATTTAAATGCTGAAAATCAGCTTCAACCCTCATTTTCAAACTTCGATATCTCGAGCTAGGAAGCTACGTTTTGGGTGATTCTAGTTGCATTTCGTCTGTAATTGAAGTGGCTACGTATTGGAGTGATTGGGAAGTGTCGGGGACTCAGCGGTTGCAGTGATTTCTACCCAGCTCTCTTTGGTCTCTTTTTTTTTTTTTTGACAAAGGTAACAGTTTTGTGTATTAATCTTCAAGACTAAAGGCTGGGATCCCAAATTTACATCATGGAGCTACATACAGTTGCGAGTACTCAAAACAAAACAAAACTAGAACCTACTACAACTTACAAAGAACCTAGGATATCTATAACAACTATAGGATCATCTACATACTCCAAACTGCACCAATAGCAAAAAGTGATTATGCAATTCGATTTGATCCTGTGTAAGGGACTACTAATACTCTCAAAGCATCTCATATTTCTTTCCTTCCATATGGTCCACCAAATCATTGCTGGGACAATTCTCCATCTGCTTTGGTCTGTACTGCCACTGCCTTCAGTGTTCCAGCTTTCTATAGCCTGATTTGCCCTTTGTGGCATGGTCCAGCTTGTGCCCCTGAAGCTGGTAAATAAGTGCCACAATTGTCTGACCACCTTGCAATGAAGAAACAGATGGTTGATTGTCTCTGCCTGTAGCTCACAAAAAAAACATCTAGGACACATATGTATTCCCCTCTTCATTAGATTCTCCTGTGTTAGTACCGCCTCTTTAACTACCAACCAAGTAAAGACTGCCACCTTATATGGAATTTTGACTTTCCAGATAAGCTTCCAAGGCAAAAATCTGAGTTGAGTCCCCATTTGATTCAGGTTCTTGTAGGCAGAGCTAACTGTGAAGATACCTTTGCTATGATGAATCCACGTAAGAGTGTCTTCTCCCTCTTTCAATCCTCCAAAATGGTCCAGGGTGCCATAAAATTCAGCTAGTCTATCCACCTCCCAGTCTTGTATCATCCTTTTATATGTTAAGTTCCATCCATGGATGGACCAAACTTCTTGCACAGTGGCCTCTTGTTGCTGATTCAACAAGTAGATGTCTGGAAAGAGTTGTTTGAGGCTGCCATTTCCTAACCAATTATCGTCCCAAAATAAAATCTTTCTTCCATTGTTTATATTGAATCTAGTTCTTTGGAAGAAACAGTGCCACAAATTTCTGATTGATCTCCATAGGCTAATACCATAGGCAGAAGTCACTTCCTTAGTTTTCCAGTGATCTATCTTCTCATACTTGGCCTGAATCACTCTAACCCAAAGAGCCTGCTCCTCTTTAGGAAATCTCCACAACCACTTCATCATAAGGCTTTTGTTCTGTTTCTTCAGGTTTCTAATGCCTAACCCACCTTGTTTCTTTGAAAGAATTACAGTCTTCCATTTAACCAAATGAAATCCTTTGTATTCTTTCTCTCCATTCCACAAAAAATTCCTCCTTAATGCATCAATTCTTTCCTCCACCTTAGGGGGGAGAGGAAAAACTGACATCAAATATGTTGGCAAAGCATCTAAGACTGAGTTGATCAGGGTCAATCTTCCACCTCTAGACAAATATTGTGCTTTCCATCTAGATAGTCTTCTTTCACATCTCTCCAGCACCCCATTCCAGATTTCATTGGATTTGCTTTTGGCTCCCAAAGGCATCCCCAAATATACTGTTGGTAGTTTACCTATCTCTCCTCCCAAGATCTCTGTCAGATGTTGCATTTTGTTCACCTCATTAATTGGAAAAATCAGACTTTTCCTCTAGTTGATATGTAGTCCTGAAGTTGCTTCAAAAAGAATGAGTATCACTCGCAGGATCTTAAGTTGGCTTTCTTCTGCATCACAGAAGATGAGAGTGTTATCTGCATATTGGAGATGCGTGACTTCCAATCTTAGATTCCCCTCATTTGCTACATTAAAGCCCCTTATCCACCCTTTAGTGTGAGCAGTCTTTAGCATGTTGTTTAGGCCTTCCATCACTATAATGAATAGAAAAGGTGAGAGAGGATCACCTTGTCTTAGTCCTCTGTCTGATGAAAAGAAGCCTTCAGGAGATCCATTTATCAGTATTGAGAATTTAACAGTGCTTATACAAAACTTTATCCATCTGATCCATTTCAATCCAAAGCCCATTCTCTGCATGATTTCAAGTAGGAAGCTCCAACTGACATGATCGTACGCTTTCTCTATGTCCAGTTTGCACATGACTCCTGGGGACTTTTCCTTCACTCTCGAGTCTAGACACTCATTAGCAATTAAGATTGCATCAGTTATTTGCCTTCCTCTCAGGAAGGCCATTTGTTGAGTATCTACTAGCTTGTGCATCACTTTCTTTAATCTTTCTGTGAGAATCTTGGCAATCAACTTGTAGACACTTCCAATTAAACTGATTGGTCTAAAGTCTCTCAATTCCTTTGCACCACTCTTTTTTGGGATGAGAGCTATGTATGTTGCATTAAAGCTCTTTTCAAAAAACTCCTGGGAGTGGAAATTCTGCATAGTAGACATCAAATCCCCCTTCACTATCTCCCAGCAATTAACAAAAAAACCCATTGTGTATCCATCTGGACCTGGTGCTTTGTCTACAGCACAAGCTTTAAGTCCAAGAAGGACCTCCTCTTCTTCAAAAGGCTTTTGTAGTTCTTGTTGCTCCTTAAAGCTGATGGA